CTCCGTGGCTGTCCCTGGCCATGAACTCTTTCTCATCTCCTTGCTGCCAGCCCTGGCCCACAGCAGTGCTCACTGAGGGATTGTTGAATAAAGGAGGGTGTGAGTGAATGAGTGACATGTCACATAGGAGAGTGGAGCTGAGGAAAGAGCCTGCGGGGCAAGGACAGCAGGAACTCACCTTGTAACCCCAGGCTTTACCCACAACCCCCCAGCCCATTGTCAGAGCCTTGGCTCTCTCATCTTTGAAATGGGCACACAACACCTGCCCCTGCTTTGTTCAGGAGCCTGTGGCCCTCGAGGGGCCGGCTGACAGGCTCTGACATCCTCCAATCTCAGGTCTCCAGGGGAGCTCACACTCAGCATGCTGGAGGGTTCATGGGCCCACTGAGACGCCCCCTTGCTGAGAGGACAGAAGTGCAGAGCCTGCCCTGGGAACTTGAGAGTCAGAGGGAGGAGGCCTGTGGAGAGGGTCAGGAAGGGGCCAGCACCTCCCTGAGCCTGCAGGCCTAGCAGAAGGCGGGGAGTAGGTAGGAGACCCCTGGGTCTGTGGCTGTGGTCCAGAGAGGCCCTGTGGTGACTGACTGACCCTGTCCCTAGGAAGTTGCCCGTGAGGTGCAAAGGGATAGGCACAAACCCACACCCCACACTCACAGCCAGTCACACTTGCAGCTCCAGATGCTGACACACACACACACACACACACACATACAACCCACCCCCACTCACACACAGGGACACCCCTGCTGCCACACTCAGCATGTTCCAGTGCTGAGACCAGAGGGCCGAGGAGCCCGGATCCTCCCACCCCACAGAGCCTTAAGGGTATCTTTGATCTCTAGAGACAAACAGGGTCTGTGTGTTCAGCATCTTCTCCTGGCCTGGCATAGTTGTGACTTCTCCAGGAAAGAGGGTGACCTTGGGGTGAGGGAGAGGCCTGGGTGCCCATCATCTCTGTGACTATGACCACCTGACCAGAGAAAGAGCTCGGCAGGCCACCAGTGCTCGGGAAGCCTCAGTCTCCCTGTCTGTAAGGTGTGGGGTATGGGTACTTGCCTTCTGAGCTGCCTGGCGCATCACATGAGGTCAAACACGAGCCTCAAGCAGTACTCAGCAGGGGATCACCGTCAACCCATCTGTGGCCACCTCCCACAGTGACACACCTGGCCCATCCCACTTTAACCCCCCAAAGTGCAGGCGGGATCGGGAGCCCAGGGGCCCAGCATGAAGGGCTGTGGGTGCTGGGGCCGGGTCTATTTACCACCCCTCATGTCCGAGGGTATCTGGAACCCCAGGCCCCCAGAACCCCATAGCGCCACCCAGCACGTCCCCAGTTGGACTCTGCTTTTCCCAGTGACTTCCAGGGTTGAGTGGAGAGAATTCTGAATAAGCAATGCCTCTCCTGGCCCCCAGAAGATGGCAGATGATTTTCTGAGCCTCACACCTGGGCCAGTACCCCATCTTCCTTTGGCAGAGCTGGGGCACAAGTTGGGGAGTGGCTCATAGGCCCCGGAGTAGCCAAGGGGTCATCAGGCAGAGTGGGCGTGGGTTGGGCCTGCAGTGGGTGTGGGGCGCTGGGACTTGGCGCCAAGGGTTCATTCTGGGTCCAGGGGCAGGAGCTTGCCTGGCAGGGATGCACTGGGCCAAATCAGGGGAATGTAACTAGGTAATCACCCCTTCCCCATTGGGCTACAGTGATCTGGCAGTAATGGAGGCAGGAACACAGGGGGCTCCCCATGCAGAGGCAGCGGAATCATCCTTAAGGTCATTGCTGTATCCTGAGGCTGCTGGAGGGTTATCTGTGTGTGTGTGTCCGAGCCCGAGTCCCGTCCCTGGGGAGGTCTCGGGTGAAACAGGTCCCCACTTTTTATTATGGTACAAGATACCTGGCCTCGGCATTGAGACACCAGTTTCCCTCCAGCAGAGAAACTGGGGGGCACCTATTTCCCTCCTTGCACTGGTTCCTGGGGAGCTCAGAGCTTTTGCAGATGCCCAAAGCTCCCAGCAGTCTTTATGTTCAACACTTTCTTCCTGGCTTCCTTCTATTCCTCTTACATCTCTGAACCTGCCATCCGGTGAGGAATTCAAGTCCAGATTCAAGAGCCTGTGAAGCTGAGTTACTGGAGTGTCCTGGACCCTATGGGTGGTCCAGCCTGAGGGAACAACAGGGAGGGAGTGAAGTGGACAGAAGCAGAGCTGGGTGGGGTGGGCGGAGGAGGGCATAGGGGGACAAGAGCCAGGAGCAGAGGCGGCCCAGATCAGAGCAGGGTTTCCAGGCTGAGGAAAGAGAGGACACCAGGGTGTGGAGGGTCCCCACAAGGTCAGGGAGGTAGAGCTTATCTGGAGGTCACAGCCATGGCCCCTCCGACTAGAGAGATAGCTAGGAATTGGCATGGTTCTGTGCTGGAGGAGGGATGGTGGAAGGAGAGGACAGAGAGACAAGAGGTTCTAGTGACCAGACTCCTCATATCCCGAGAGATGCCCCAAGGAGAGTGTGGGCTGCTCCTCTCGGGCTACTTTCCTACCTCGATCTCATGCACGTCACCCTGAGAACCTGGAGAAGATGCTAATCAAGTATGAGACCCAAAGAAATTAGCAGAGAGCATGATTTCTGATTGACAAAAGGACATTTTACTGAGAGCTGATTGGGTGCCTGGAGCAGGGCTGGGGATGACAGGCGTGAGCCTTGGCAAAAGCCCTCCAGGCCGGTTGGGAGCATCCCAATGCCTCCGTTGGGGGAGCCCTGGCACCCTCTCTTTAGTCTCAGTCCCTCTGCAGCTTCACCTGTCCTCATCCCACCCCTGAGCCATCCCAGCCCTGAGCTGTCCTGTTCCTGGCTTGCATCAGCCTTGAGACCTTAGAGCTCCTTGAGAATCCATCTGTCCTCCAGCATTGGTCTGCCTGAGATCTCCCCCAGGTAACTCTCCCTAGTGTCTTCATGCAGGGTTTCTGTCTGTCCAGCTTGGTCCTTCTGTCTTAACATGGTGTCTGTCTTTCAGGCTCTCCTCCCTTCCAAGGAGAGGTTTCTTGCCTCACAGTCCCAGCCAGTGAGACCCCAGGATTCCAGGGAGGAGCTTAGCCATTAACCCAGAGACTGCTCGGGGTGGGACATGGTCCACACAAGAATGGTAAACATAGGGAAGGAGCAGAGGGTGGGCTGTCCTGTCCTGCTGGCCTGTCTTCTATCCTGGAATATTCTTTTGGCTATTCTGGGTAAGATTGAAACTACCCCATAAGGAAAACTGAAGATTCCTTCTATCCCAGAGGCCAGCGGGGATGGTCAACTGGAGAAGCAGATCTGAGTCCCAGCGACGAGGGCAGGAAGGGGTCACGGGAACTGGCCCATCCTGTCCCCACCATGTGCTGCAGAGCCGGAATAGGCTACAGGGGGTGAGATGGCCAGACAAAGAGTGAACTTTCCAGAATGCCAGAGCATTCAGATCCCAGTCCTAGACTGAATGGAAAGGAGAGAAATTCAAGTCCAGATTTCACTTTGGTTCCTAAAGAGAACATCACATGGTGACATAGCCTGGAACACAAACCCTCTGTCGCCCCCGGCAGCACACGGCCACCCCGCCAAACCCAGGCCCACCTGCAGCTGCCTAGGGAAGCTCAAGGTCCAGCCTCCTCCTTGTGGGGGCTGGTCTGGCCCATGGGAGCTTGAGAAGGGGCTCCCTCTCCACCCGCATCTTCAGGTCCTTGTGGGGGGTAGTGAGCTTCCCCCTGTCCCGAGCCATGGAGGGGCAGGGAAATAGGGGAGTGTCTGAGTGACATATCCCATCCCAGGTAGCTTCCCGGAAGGAGCTCTGTGTGTGGCTCAGCTTGCTTGGGGAATGCCACCCGGCAGAGCCGACAGACCTGTTTCCAACACAGACATGATGGGGCCTATGCCCTTGGCTGAGCAGAGGCCCATGGAGGCTTCTGGATGCCACCACACATCCTAGACACGGGCCCAACCTGGCCATGTGTGCACTAGCAGACATGCGTGTGTACTAGCATGTGCATGTGACCTGACCGTGCGTGTGCACGTGTCCAGTCTGTCTGTGGGACACGGAGCTGGGTCCCAAGGTCCTGAGCTAGCTCCTAGCACAGCAGTCTTCCTGGTTCTCAGGGCCCATTGCCAACTCCTAAGGAGGTGAGCTGACTCATGGTTCACAGTTGTCCATCACACACTCCAGAATGTAAACTTGACGTTGAACTCATGGCCCCAGTGACTACCCACGGACATTTTGGTTTAGTGCTTGTGGTGGGGTCAGTGGTGGATTGGACTCTAAAGGGTCCCCGCTTCCCAGGGACCCTGAAGACACGCTGGGACCCGATGACACATGTGGAAGGAGGAGGAGTCCTCAGTGGCAGTGTGGGATTGAGTGACTAGGGTCCAGGGACTGAGGGTCCTGTACTGAGTGTGACAGAGACTCAGACTGTGAGAGGGGCACAGGACAGTGTTCCTGGGGAGGCAGGAGCAGGGGGTAACCCTAAGGAAGGGTGAATGCTCTAGGCTGACAATAGGGAATATCTATATGGGGTAGAAAACCAGCCAAAACATGGCAATGAGGGGGGCATAAAGAAAGGAGAGTGGACATCTCAGAAAGGAGCTAGTCCCTGATGGCGAGGCCCTAGGTCCTGGGGAGGAGCTCAGACGTTATTCAGGAGTCCACAGGGAACCAGAAGCAGTGGGCTTTGGTACTGGTGGTGACCGATGTGGTCCATGCAAGAAAAGTAAGCATGGAGACCTGGTGGAGGATGGCCTATCTCGGTTCTGCTGTCGGTATCTCCTGTTCTGGAATATTCTCTGGCAATTCTGAGTGAGAGTGAAACTTCCCCTCCCAGAAACGTGATGATGCCTCTGTTGACTCCTTTCCCACAGGGTGAAAAGAATCGTGTTCACATTTGAGGACACAAAGTGTTTGAAACGCAATGAGCTGAGAGCACGATTTCTGACTGAATAAAGAGCATTTTATTGAGTGTTGACTGGATACAGGGAGAAGGGCTGGGATGACCCTGGTGGGAGGGAAGATCGTCCTGGAGGTCCTGTGGCTCCAGGCCCCACTGGGTGGGGGAGGGTGTCGGGGACCTAAGAGCACTGTGAGGGGACCACCTTCTTCTCCACGGTTTTGCCCTCGTGCGTGACCAGGCAGCTGAAGCTGCTGTGAGATTTCCACATGTCAGGCGACAGGCTCAGGTAGCTGCTGGCCACGTACTTATTGTTGCTCTGTTTGGAGGGCTTGGTGGTCTCCACGCCCTGGGTGACGGGGCTGCCGTCTGCCTTCCAGGCCACCATCACGCTGCTGGGGTAGAAGTCACTGATGAGGCACACCAGGGTGGCCTTGTTGTCCGTGATCTCAGAGAATGTCCGGAATAGTGTGACTGAGGGTGTAGACTTGGGCTGACCTATGTGGGCAGAAGGGAGAGTGAAAGATGCAGGCAGAGTCAACGTGTTGGACACCCCTTCCCTTACCTACAGCCTCTGTGACTGTTCCCATGGTGTCCATGCTTGTTTACCAGGAGACCCTCCTTTCGACTCCAGCCCTGGACAGCAGGCAGCCCCTGAGGCTCCCAGCAGCTCTGCCATGTCACCTCTCCCAGATGCGTGAGAAGTGCTTCTGTGGCCTCAGTTTCTTCCTCAGGCCAGCATCTGGCCCCCATATCACTTCATTCTTCCAGATCCAGGTACTTGCCCTGTGAACTGGAGTCCCCTATCCAGCCTGCCAGGACAGCTCTGACGGTGTGTGGGGAGGTCCCGAGTCCTGTGCCCAGTGGGGCATGGAGACCCTGTCACTCTCAGGAACAGCTCTGTCCCTGCCTTTCAGCAGGAGGCCAGCCCTTGGACAGGTGAGACACCTGGGGGTTATGGGGCTCCAGGGACTGGTAAGGCTCTGCCCCATGGGACCTGCTCCTTTCTGACCAATGTCCTAGGAGGGCTGTATTTCTGGTCACCCTGGTCTGCATCACTCATGTCTCTGTGCCTGTGTCCTTGTGGCCTAGCAGAGGTCCTCAGCACTTCAGCCTAGAGCAAACCAGACTGTTCTGTCCCCCTCCCATGGGCTTCCCCTCAGACTGCCCCTCTGTGCCCCCAGAGGCTGGATTCACAAGCCCCAGCCATGTCCCCAGTCTCCTGTGTGGCCCTCCTAGCCTGGATGTTATTAAGCCCTCGGCCAAGACCCGAAGGGACTTTATGTAAGGCTTCCCCAGGACCTCTAGTCAGAACCAGCCTTGGACCCCACACAGCTGTCTACCCTGGAAGAAGGGAAGGAGCCTTCATTTTTGGATACCAACCCCCCAGCCTAGGCCCCTGGAATCCGAACACATTCAACTGTCAGATTCTAATGGTAAATGTTTGTACCATTGGGTCCTTCCTGCTGGTTCCCTCAGGCCAATCCACTTCCCCCAGATCCCACAGACCTGCTAGGGGCTCTGTCCTTAAGTTTGGAGAGTGGACAGGAAGCAGCCCCCAAAGAAAACTAACTTTCTCAAGACAATAGAGGGGTGGTACAGGTTGAGAAATGTGGTGAGAGCCACTTACCTAGGACGATGAGCTGGGTTCCGTCACTGAAAACATACCAGGGTGACTGAGTTTCAGGCCAAAACCCACCGGGCCAGCACCTGGGGCCTGCCCCATGGGGCCCAGGCCAGAATAGGAACCTGTGATGGGCATAAGGCTGTAGCAGTGGGGCTGGGCAGTCAGCCTCCTAGAGGCTGTGACACACCTGGATGACCCCACACCCCACAGGCTGTGACACACCTGGATGACCCCACTCCCCATACCCAACCCCCTGATTGAGGTAGATACCACCCTTGTCTTGTATATTTCTCCCCTTTCCAAGGCTGTCCTGGTCATCTCCTAATCCTCAGTGCTGATGGTGGCACTGCATGGAGTAGGTGTTCAGTAAATCGCTGAGCCTCACATAGAGCTTCCAAGGGTTCCTCTCCTAAAATTTCCCATGGTCCAGCCAGGTGGCTTCCTCTCTGGGCCTACTGGTTGGTCTGGGACTGGGACATTCCTGACTCATAGTTCTCCCATGTGAAGACTCCCCCACTTTTTCTCTACACATCAAGGCACAATGCAGTCCCACTTCTTTGATGAAGTTTTTTCTCTGATCTCTCAGACCACTGTTTTTCTGTCCACCTATCTATGTATTCATCCATCTATCATCCTTCCAACCAACCATCCACTTACCCATCTATCCATCCAACAGTAGCTCCAGGCACTGTTTCATATCCTGAAACATGGAGGGCCTCCCTGGCTTTCATCTTCATCTCTCCCTGAAAATTCTCAGGTCAAGGCCAACAAGGCCCTCTTCCTGGTATTTTCCCAATTCCTGCTGTACATTATGTCTTTACAGGATGCAACATAGAGTCAGCCTCTCTTTTCAGTGACTCTCTTCCTGTTGGTACCTGAGACCTCCCATTCTCCTCCCCTAACCTCCCTTTCACTCCTGCCCATGCATGGCAGCTGACTCCCTGACCAGCACCCTGAGTCCTCCTTCTTTGCCATCTTCCTACATTGTGGATTCCCACTCCATTTGGTGAGGCTCAAGTCTATTTCAGCTCCAAACCCTCTCCTTGACTCTTCCTAAATTGCTACTGACCATCTCCAGCTGGATGGTCAACAGGAATCCCAAATTTACCATACCCAAATGAGACTGACCACCGTTCCCCCAACCCAGCTCTTTTTCTGTCTTCATCTTGTCACATGTGACTATGAGTGCTCTCACTACTCACCCTCAGGCCAGATCTGTAGCTTCAATGCAATCCTAATCAAATTCCCAGCAAATTAGTTTGTTGATATTGGCAAACTGATTCTAGAGTTTCTATAGAGGGCAAAGTACTCAGAATAGCTAACACAATTTTGAAAGGAAAGAGCAAAGTCGGAGAAATGACAGTATAAGACTTTGAGACTTACTATAAATCTACAATAATCAAGAAAGGTGGTATTGGGGCGCCTGGGTGGCTCAGTGGGTTAAGCCTCTGCCTTCGGCTCAGGTCATGATCCCAGGGTCCTGGGATCGAGCCCTGCGTCGGGCTCTCTGCTCGGCAGGGAACCTGCTTCCCCCTCTCTCTCTGCCTGCTTCTCTGCCTGCTTGTGATCTCTCTCTCCGTCAAATAAATAAATAAAATCTTAAAAAAAAAAAAAAAAGAAAGTGTGGTATTGACATAAATACAAACCAATGGAATAAATAGAACAGAGAGCCCAGAAATAAACTCTCATGCATAAAATCAAATGATTTTTGACAAGGGTGCTAAGACCATTCAATGGGGGAAGGACAGTCTTTTCAACAAATGGTACTGGGAAACATAGATATTCACATGCAGAAGAATGAAGCTGGACTCTTACCTAACATCATAGACAAAAATGAACTCAAAATGAATGCAAGACATAAATATAAGAGCTAAAACAATGACACTCTTAGAATAAAACATAGGCCAAAAGTTTTACAACATTGGATTGGCAGTGATTTCTTGGATAAGACACTGAAGGCAAAGGCAACAAAAGAAAAACTAGACAAGTTGGACTTTATGAAAAATTCAAAATTTTGTATATTAAATGATGGTATCCACAGGGTAAACAAGCAACCCACAGAATGAAAGAAGATATTTGCAAATCATATATGTAATAAAAGGTTAATATCTAGAATATATGGGGAACTCTTAAAACTCAAGTAAAAAACAAGCAACCCAATTCTAAAATGAGCAAAGGACTTGAACAGGAATTTCTCCAAAGAAGATATACAAATGGTCAATAAGCACATGAAAGATACTCAGTATTATTAGTCATTAGGTAAATGCAAATTAAGACTACAATGAGACACCACCTCATGCTCATTGGGATGGCTACTATTAAAAAAAAACTAGGGGGTGTCTGGGTGGCTCAGTGGGTTAAAGCCTCTGTCTTCGGCTCAGGTCATGATCCCAGGGTCCTAGGGTTGAGCCCCACAACTGGCTCTCTGCTCAGTGGGGAGCCTGCGTTTCCCCCTGCCCCCTGCCTGCCTCTCTGCCTAATTGTCATCAATGTCTGTCAAATAAATAAATAAAATATTTAAAAAAAAAAACTAGGAAACTAGTGTTGGTAAGGATGTTGAGAAATTGGAACTCTTGTGTAATGCTGGTGCACAAATACCACATGATTCCACTTACGTGAGGTATTTAGAGTAGTTAAAATAATAAACAACACAGTCTTAAGTTATCAATGGGTCAAAGAAGAAACTACAAGTAAAATTAAAAAATACTTTGAGATGAATGAAAAGAAAACCTAACACATTAAAACCTATGGGATTCAGTGATAGTGGCACTCTAAGGAAAATTTATAGCTATCAAAATGTCTCTATTAAAAAGAAGAAAGAGGGGCACCAGGTGGCTCAGTGGGTTAAGCCTCTGCCTTTGGCTCCGGTCATGATTAAAAAAAAAATCTTTTTTTTAAATTTAAATTTTATTTAAAAATAAAATCTTCTTTTAAAAGATTTTATTTATTTATTTGACAGACAGAGATCACAAGTAGGCAGAGAGGCAGGCAGAGAGAAAGAGGAGGAAGCAAGCTCCCTGCTGAGCAGAGAGCCCGATGTGGGGCTTGATCCCAGGACCCTGGGATCATGACCGGACCCAAAGGCAGAGGCTTAACCCACTGAGCCACCCAGGTGCCCCAAATTTAAAAATCTAAAAAAAAAAAAAAAAAAAAAAAGAAGAAAGATTTCAAACCAATAACTTAAGTCTACCTTAAGGAAATGGAAAAAGAAGAGCAAGTTAATTCCAAAGCTAGCAGAAGGAAGGAAATAATAATGATTAGAGTAGAAATAAATGAATTAGAGAGTAAAAAACAATAAAGAGAACCATTACAACCAAAAGCTGGTTCTTCAAAGTTTAACAGCTTTGAGAAATGTTTACCAGACTGACAAATACAAAACACGGAGAGAACTGGGACACCTGGGTGGCTTTAGGGGAAACCAGGTGAAGGGGACCTGGGGCCCCTGTGTTGTTCCTTACAACTACATGTAAATCTACAATGATTTCAAAATAAAAAGTTTAATTTATGAAAAGGTTATATACTGTACTATTCCATGTAAATGATAGTTTGGAAAAGACAAAACTATAGGGTCACAGAGAGATCAGTGGTTGCCATGGTTGGGGCCCAGAAAGGGACTGATTACCAAAGGGAAACAAGGAAATTTTGGGGGGTGTTGGAAATGTTCTCTATCTTGATTGTGGTGCTAGTTACATGACTCTATGATTTTATTAAAATTTACAGCTACTATACAAAAAAGAGGGAATTTTACTCTGTATAAATTAAAGTAAAATAAAAATAGAAATCTTTAATATGTTATTATAGCCACCAAATACATATCTCTATGTCTCTATATATCTGTATCTCTATATATCGTTTATTATTCTTCTTCCATGATATGCCATAGTTAATTTTACCTTCTCTTATCATTGAACTTTGAGGGTGTTTCTACTTTTTCCTCTGAACACACATACAATATTTAGCTCAAATTCTCATTATTTCCTCAAGATAAATTTCTAGGAGTGGAATTACTTGGTTAAAAGGAATGCAGGTTTTTATGAATTTTGACACACGGTGTCATTGTTCCAAGAATTTCGTCTCCCACTGACCACCCATGAGAATGCCCAGTCCTCCTCCGTCAACCTTCTGGCACCATCACTTTAAATTCACTTGCCAGTTTCACAGGTGAGCTTGGTCATTGTGTGGACAGCCCTCTCTCTGCAGCTCTAATCTGCCGTCAAAAAATCTGGAGCCGGGGCGCCTGGGTGGCTCAGTGGGTTAAAGCCTCTGCCTTCGGCTCAGGTCATGATCCCAGGGTCCTGGGATCAAGCCCTGCACGGGGCTCTCTGCTCAGCGGGGAGCCTGCTTCCTCCTCTCTCTCTGTCTCTCTCTCTCTCTCTGCCTGCCTTTCTGCCTACTTGTGATCTCTGTCAAATAAATAAATAAAGTCTTTAAAAAAAAAAAAATCCGGAGCCATTTTCCCAAGACACAAATCTGACTCTGAGAGTCCCCTACGTAAGTCCCTCAAGGATCTCAGGGAAAAGCACCAGTGCGTGAAACCCCCTGCGGTCTGCCACCAGTCTCCCCCCCCCCTCCCCCAATCTCTGACGTGGCCTGAGCACCTCACTCTCCTCTCAGCCTTGGCTACTTCCTTTGCCGGGAGACAAACATCCCATCATGTCAGCCCCCCCAAGTTAGGAGATCGGGGTGGGAAAGCTGCAGGCCATTGGATTTGAATGTTGGAGTCTGCACCAGCTGTATGACACTGAGCAGATCCCCTCAGCTCTCTGGACCTCTATCCTCATCTGTAAAATGGGGATGACAGTGGGCTGTGCCTTGTGGGGCTGTTCAGGGACATTCTGCCCCTGAAGGGATTAGTGCCCACAATGAAGGTGCTGTTTTGTCACCCATTATCGTGAACGGACCCAGACGCTTGGCACTTTGTCCAGGGACTTCCCACCCATACATGAGAGGTGGGGGCTGGGTTCAATCAGCAAGTGGGGGCTGACCGTGACCCCCCAAAAGACCCTGGCGGGGGCCTTTCCCATGGAGGAGCTTGCACCCTGGGTGGCTCGAGTTCTTAGGGGGTGGGTTGCAGGAGGTGGCGCTGGCTGAAGATGCTTGGTGGAGGGTCCAGTGACCTGGGGACAGCAGGGAAGGCCCACTCTGAGGTAGGAAGCATCGACTGGAGCCTGCACCATAGTGCTCCAGGGGGTGGCCCCTGCCCAGCAGGAGAAGGGCAAGGAGGTGACTCATCAGCATAAAGGAGGTGGCCTGGGCACCCTGGCCCAGCCACAGCACCCACCACCCACATGGATATCCTGCCCCTGCCTCCTGTTTCTTCCCTACCCAGAAGACCAAGGTGAGGTGAGCGAGCCGCTAGCCTTGGGTGCAAAATTTTGGAGTGCCAGAAAGTGCAATAAATAAGATAAATAATATTTTAATGCAATAGTAAAAAAAAATAATGCAAACAAATATACCCTGGACGAAATGTCAACACTTTAAATAAAGCCAGGGTCTGTCCAGGCTGCCTCTCTTCTCACTGATTTTTTTTCCTTGTCTTTCTTGTCCCCCTCATAGCCGCTCAGTGTCCCAGGCCCAGTTCTGGCTGCAAAGACGCTCTCCTCCCTCACCCCCATGACTCACTCAGTCCCTTACCTGTCCCACAGGCTCCGAGAGCTGCTTCCTGCTGGGGCTCTGGGCTCTGGGGTGCTGTTCGGTGGGGCTACTGTCGTGGGGGGCAGCCGGCCCTGGGCACCCACAGCCAAGCCCAGCAGCAGCAGGGGCCAGCATGACTTGGGGCCAGGTCTCTGCCCCCAGGGGGCCTCAGAGCCCACCTGACCTGTCCCTGGCCTCATTTGCCCTCAGGGTCAAAGGACCTGCAGAATTGAGCTCCCTGGAGGAGAGACAGTTGGTACCCCAGTCTTTCTTGCTGGCAGTGGGTATCCCAGTGTTCCGTAGCCCAAGTGGCCTGGTCCTCTGCCTGAAACTTCTCTCCAAGGCCCATGGCTGTTACTCCGGGGGGCTCTCTCCCAGTGGGCCATTGGCCAACTGCCCTGCTGTGGTTGGCATCCATAGCTCAACCGTCTTGCCCCACAGCTGCAAGCCTGGTCTTGCCCCTGGGACCCTGGGTGGGGAGCACCTGCTCCTGCCTTCCTTCTCAGAGGGCGACTGGTTCTGCGGAGCATCTCCCCTGGGACTGGAGAGGCCATGGAGGACGGAGGACGCCAGGGGAGCGGGAGCCGCCAGCATTCGGGAGCTCGGGCTGGCGCTGCTGTTCTGAGCAGGCTGGGGGCAGGGGTGGCGACAGGGGAGGAAACAGGTGTAGTTTAGCAGGAAGCCGATGTTCAAGTTCAGGAATCATGATACAATTCTAAAAACAGTGTTTAAAGCACCATGTTCAGCACCTCATGGGAGTCATCTCTCTCTTTCTCTTTCACACACACACACACACACACACACACACACACACACACACACACACCCTCACTCACACCCTCATAGATTTTATCCAAAGGTCACTGTCATGAGCATAGCGTGGACACCCTGCACGCAGTAATGGCTTCCGTGAGATCCCTTTTCCATCTCCCCGGAATGCGCACACACTGTCCATCCGGGAACCCCTGTTTAGGTGTGGGGTGGACAGAAGCAATGAAGAGGGACTGAGCCCCCGCATGGGGTGGCGAGAGCCTGGCTCTGCAGTGGGCGCTGCCAGGAGGGATACTCTGGTCCCCACGGGGACATCCGGGCCTCCGGGAGGCGGGGCTGGCTGCACCTGCCGGTTCTGCTCACTTTCAGGACCCGGCGAGGTCCAAGCTGGCAGATAAAGCATGTGAAAATTGCTTTTTTTCACTTTAGTTTTTAAAAAAAATTGTGGTAAATGGACATAAAATGACATTTGTCCCTTAGCCATTTAAATTTTTTTTTTAGAATTTATTTGACAGAGAGAGAGATTACAAGTAGGCCGAGAGGCAGGCAGAGGGAGAGGGGGGAAGCAGACTTCCTGCTGAGCAGAGAGCCTGATGCAGGGTTGGCTCCCAGGACCCTGAGACGATGACCTGAGCCAAAGGCAGAGGCTCAACCCACTGAGCCACCCAGACGCGCCCCCCCCACCTTAGCCATTTTTAAGTGCACAATTCGATGGCATGAAGCACATTCACAATTTGGTGCAAGCCTCACCACCGTCCCTCTCCAGAACTTTTCATCTTCCCAGACTGAAACCTTGTCCCCTTGAAACACCGTAACTCCCCATTCTTCCTCCCCATCCTCCGGCAGCCACCATCTGACTTTCCGCCTCATTGAATCTGACTCTAGGGGCCTCGTATACGTGGAATCACATAGGATTTGTCCTTTGAACGTGCTTTTAAAAGATTTCATTTTATTTCTTTATTTTGCGGGGGGAGGGGCAGAGGGAAAGAGAATCTCTGGCAGGCTCTGAGCTGAGCATGGAGCCTGATCTGGGACATGATCTCATCACTTGGAGATCACAGCCTGAGCCGAAACCAAGAGTCAGGCACTTAACTAAGCCACCAAGGCACCCCTTAATGTACTTTAAAAAAAAATTAAATCCAATTAATTAACATATAAGGTATTATTGGTTTCAGGGGCAGAGGTCAGTGATTCATCAGTCTTATATAACACCCAGTGCTCATTACATCACGTGCCCTCCTTTTTTTTTTAACCACCATAGTATTTTTTTTTAAGATTTTATTTATTTATTTGACAGACAGAGATCACAAGTAGGCAGAGAGGCAGGCAGAGAGAGAGAGGAGGAAGCAGGCTCCCCGCCAAGCAGAGAGCCCCACGTGGGGCTCGATCCCAGGACCCTGGGACCATGACCCGAGCCGAAGGCAGAGGCTTTTACCCACTGAGCCACCCAGGTGCCCCTAACCACCATGGTATTTTTATTTTGTGCTATACTATTCAAACAAACTATATTCAGATATAATTTTCTATTAATTTTTACGGTTCCCAAGTTCAGCCTTGGCTTTCTCCTCCACCCTGATACTTAGTGCTTCTTTTTTTTTATTATTAAATTATTTTATTTTTTTATAAACATATAATGTATTATATTAGCCCCAGGGGTACAGGTCTGTGAATTGCCAGGTTTACACACTTCACAGCACTCACCATAGCACATACCCTCCCCAATGTCCATAACCCCACCACCCTCTCCCCCCCGGCCATCCTCAGTTTGCTTTGTGACATTAAGAGTCTCTTATGGTTTGTCTCCCTCCCAATCCCATCTTGTTTCATTTATTCTTTTCCTACCCCAAACCCCCCACGTTGCCTCTCCACATCCTCATATCAGGGAGATCATACAATAGTTGTCTTTCTCCGATTGACTTATTTCGCTAAGCATAATACCCTCTAGTTCCATCCATGTTGTTGCAAATGGCAAGATTTCATTTCTTTTGATGGCTGCATAGTATTCCATTGTATATATATACCACATCTTCTTTATCCATTCATCTGTTGATGGACATCTAGGTTCTTTCCATAGTTTGGCTATTGACATCACGTGCCCTCCTTAATGTCCATCACCCAGGTACCTCCTCCCCTCCAGCAACCCTCAGTTTGTTTCCCATAATTAAGAGTCTCTTATGGTTTGTCTCCCTGTCTGATTTTGTCTTGTTTTATTTTTTCCTCTTCCCCTATGATTCTGTTTTTTTTTCTCAGATTCCTCATATCAGAGAGATCATATGATAATTGTCTTTCTTTGATTGACTTATTTCGCTTAGCATAATACCCTCTAGTTCCATCCATGTTGTTGCAAATGGCACAATTTCATTTTTTGATGGCTGAGTAGTATTCCATTGTACGTCTATACCTCATCTTCTTTATCCATTCATCTGTTGTTGGACATCTGGGCTCTTTCCATAGTTTGGCTATTGTGGGCATTGCTGCTATAAACATTGGGGTACACGTGCCCCTTCAGATCACTGCATTTGTTTCTTTTGGGTAAATACCCAGTAGTGTGATTGCTAGGTCATAGGGTAGCTCTATTTCCAACTTTTTGAGGAACCTTCATACTGTTTTGTAGAATGGCTGCACCAGCTTGCATTCCCACCAACAATATAGGAGGGTTCCCTTTTCTCCACATCCTCACCAACACCTGTCATTTCTTGACTTGTTAATTTTAGCCATTCTGATTGGTGTGAGGTGGTATCTCATTGTGGTTTTGATATGTATTCCCTGATGCCGAGTGATGTTGAGCACTTTTTTCATTTATCTATTGGCCATTTCGATGTCTGTCTTGGAGAAATGTCTGTTCATGTCTTCTGCCCATTTCTTGATTGGATTATTTGTTCTTTGGGTGTTGAGTTTAAGAAGTTCTTTATAGATCTTGGATACTAGCCCTTTATCTGATAAGGCATTTGCACTTATCTTCTCCCATTCTGTCAGCTGTCTTTTGGTTTTGTCGACTGTTTCCTTTGCTGTGCAGAAGTTTTTTTCTTGCTGAATTCCCAATAGTTCATCTTTGCCTTTGTTTCCCTTGCTTTTGGGGGCGTGTCTAGCAAGAAGTTGCTGCGGCCAAGGTCACAGTGGTTGCTGCTGCCTGTGTTCTCCTCAAGGATTTGGATGGATTCCTGTCTCCCATTTAAGTCTTTCATCCCTTTTGAGTCTATTTTTGTGGATGGCGAATGTGCTTTTTAAATGGAAAAGTACAGCGAGCATAACACATATGGAGGACGGCTGTTACGATCACATTTCTTATTGCTGTTCTTGTTAGTGTAGCCACCAGCTTTGTCTGGTGGGGCTGAGGAAAAAAATCACCGGCTAGCAAAAAATAAATGACACCCTAGTTATATATCAACTGTCACCTTTCGAAGTTTGTCTTGTCACTCAGAGGGCTGTGACAGCAGTTCGGTCAGTTGCAACTAGCATTTTGCAAAAGTGAAGTAGCCTAGAGCAGCCGGGAGAACAGAGAGGGTCGGGTCCGGTGCAAGGAGTGGGGTGCTGACGGTTCACAGGATTTGGCTTCAGTTGTTGAAATTCATATCAGTACTCTGGATGATGATGGGAAATGCCTTTCATAGTGGGAGTTTTGATAGGAAAACTTGAGGAAAATGTTATCTAGCAACACACTGGTTTGGCTGTGCATTCCACCAGAAGCTAGCTGTCAAATCCACCCCGCCCTTCACGGTTGGTGGACCTGGAGTTCAAGTTTGAAACCACCCCTTGTTTTAGATCCTCTAGATCCTGGTGTATCCTGGAGCAGTGAGGTCCTGGTGGCTTGTCCATCTTCATAAGGTTTCCTCTAGTGTCCCCCAGAGTGAATTTCATGTGTGCCATATGCCCTGATGGATTCAAGTGCTTCCTTGGCATCTGTCCAACCATGGTCCTGGATGCTGTAACAGACAGACATTCTGACTTCCTCCTCACACATGGAGCTCATGAGGGCCACAGTGAGGTTAGACACCATGCAGGATTGTGACTCTGTTTGGATCTCTGGGTCCCACACTTAGTGACCCAGCATCCCTGAGTTCCAGGCACTGCGTCCTGGAGAGTTCAGGGTCAACAGGGAAATGGGCAAGGCACGGAACAGTAACAGGGCCAGCACCCTAGCAGACGTCATACAGGGGACAGGGGCAGACCTTGGGAGGCCACCGATTCAGTCCAGCTTTTCCTCATTGTGATACTGAACCCGCTCCTGCCTCTGACCTCAGGCTTCCTGCACCTTTGGACCTGGGGCCGGGTTTGTCCCAGGGGTCCAGGTTGAAGCTGCTCCCCACGTCCCAGCAGCCCTGTGTGGGTGTGACACACTCAGCCAGTGCCCAGGGTTCTGAAACTGTGGTTCTACCTGGGACAGCCCCAGGTCTCAGAGAGCAGGAGGGGCTGGACCTAAGCTCAGGAACCCTAGCTGTCTTGC